TTTGAAGCCACTCCAAGCAACCTGGCACTCCTATCAATGATTTAAAAACAAGTACTGCAATAAGAAAGGTTCATAGAAAAGATATTATACCAGCTTACCACATCTTATAATCCATTCTCCTCACTTAGAAAAAGAGAAAGTTCCCTCCTGCAAATATAACCTTTCCTATTTCTTTTGGACCATTTATCCCTGAATTTTTCTAATGTTCTTTGAACCTACTGAACTTTTGAAGTTGTCTCCAAGTGGTCTCACCAATTCCTTAGCTAGCTTCATTTACAAAAAATTAAATACACATTTCAAAATTAGCTGAAGGTTAATTAGGCTAATTAGCAAAGGCTTCCTTTGCAAGAAATTCAAGATTCACAATGAATATGTGAAGAATATCCTGTTTATCTAAATACATTTAATGAGTTTTCTCATTATCTTCACACTTTTACTAATGCTATCTTTTTTCTTGCAATACTATCTTCTTCTACTAACTTCTATATCAAGACACATGCAATTTTTTTACCCCAGCAGCTTTAGCTGCTGGCAATTTTTCTGTATTACATTACAAAGTTTACTCAAATCCTGGATATAGTTAAATCTCCTACTTTATTATCACAAAATATTCAGCTTCTCTAATCTTAACATTTTCTTATCATATACATGTTGTGATCCAAGAGCTAATAAATTATTATTAGAAGGAATTTTCATTTACAAGATTTTGCACAGGAGGTTTCTTTTACCCCACAAGAAATCCATGATTCTAGAGCTCACGCTATCTTTTATGTAAAGTGTCACTCCCCTGCCTGTACATCTAATAATTCCAGCAAAGTTAGCAGCATGTTAGCTTTACAGACCAGTGATTATTCTTCCATCAGGCTTCCAGTGCATTACAAAGCAGCTGACATTCAATAATGAGCATTTGTGTGTGTTCATCTTATCTCTTAGGATTAAATAATATAAAAGCACATGTAAGCTCCAGCTCTGCTATTCAATATCTCACATATCAATTAACTTTAAGTCACACACTTAGTTAAATGTTTTCCAAAAATCATAGTAAGAGATTCCTTTGAAACCATTGTTGGAAAGGCTGTACACAGAATTTCTTCATTGGTCTAAGATCATGAGGATAACCCTGGTGAGCAATTCTTGAACTCTTGATATTTCATTTATTTCTCTTCATGTCTCTTCTAACCATCCTTTATACCAATCCTTCTTTTTGCTCTTAAAATGTATCAGATAACCAAAGATCACCCATGCAAACCATTCACATTCTTCACCTTATTTTCAGAGCTCCTCAAATACTTTTCTTTCCTCCCAGACAGAGAATAGTCATGGAGCTGTCACAGGCACACAAAACCAACTCTACTCAGGTAACCAACTCATAACCAAAACTAACGGCCAAAACAAACCCACAACAAGGATAACCACGATGACAATCCAGGGGCTTTTCACAGGTGATAGGTTCACTGTATCAGTAAGGGATATCACTACAACATGGACAGGAACAATGACCTAAAGCACGCACTCACGCACTAACACACTCAGAGCCCTCCCACTCCGGCTCTTACGACAAATGAGTTGGTGTGCCATTATCCCCTTGACTAAATTCTAAATCAATGAAAAAAAGAATCACATTTCATCTTCAGTAAGTTGCTACCAGACTACCATCAACTGATATTTTGATAACTCCTCAGTGTTCATCTCGAGGTTTTATTGTTATAAAACACGTTGTTTTCACAAAATAGTTCAACTTTTGAAAAGTGACAGAACCAGCTTTCTAACACACAAAAGAAAATACCCTATATCATCCATAGTTTGTGTGGACATTCCATAATCACCATCAGCAAGCAGCACAGTGAAAACATTTCCTCCAGTGAAGTACCAAGACTGCTGCCAGCTGCAAGTCAAAGAAGTGGTTATTTCCCTCTACTCCCCTTCTCGGGAAGATATTTTCCCACTTTCAAGGAGAACTATATAGAGTATTTTGTATGGGTTTCTCCACCTCAAAAGAAGTATAGGTACTTTGGAATGAGTACAACAGAAAGTCATCAATATGATTAGAGGGCTGAAACATAAAGTTGCAGACAGAAAAGTTGAAAAAGCGGTCAATCTTGAGAAGGATAATGAAGAATATGGTAAAACCTACTGATGGCAAAAAAACATGACCTGACAGAAGGCTAGAAATAACAGGGAACCAGAATTCCTGGAGGTGCACGACAAGCAAGAGGAAATAGGCACAAGTTTCAACAAAAGATATCCCAAAAGATATTATCAAAAAAAAAAAAAAAATCACCACAATGACAAACATGGGAACAGGCTGTCCATCTCCACATCTCCATCTTGAGAAATACCTCAAACTCAGCTGGAGAAAGTCCTGAGCAAGATGAACTTGACTAGTCCCTTTACAAAAAGCTGTTGGACTTTCAGATGACCTTCAGGGACTTCTTCCATGGTTCATGTCTCTGAAATATCCCTGGATATACTCAACAATTATTTCCTACTGTCTGAAGCTAGGCCCTCTTTTACTTCTTTATTCTTGCAACAGTATTTCTTTCATAACTCCATAACATCTTCAGTTTTTCAATTGCTTCAATGCGCCTTCAGAATCAACATATTTTATAACTCCAGTACAAACATCTGCTGAATCTTCAAATCCATTCTATACTGTTCTGTATTCTTTTTTCTTGCGAAAATTCCTCAGTGGATTATTTACATAGACAAAAGACTTCCTTTTCTAGATCAATGCTGATACACTTTTGGCATATTAGCTGGCAAAATGCACCAATTGAATATTTGAGTACCTCAATATGATTTTACTTAATGATAATAAAATTCACTTAAAGCATCATTGAACATTCCGGTCTCCACTTCCTCTACTAGATACCTCTTCTTATGCAAAGATTTTAATGAAAAGAGTGCATAAGCAGACCCTTCAGCAGAGTGGAAAGTAGCTCATTCTCTGCATGCCATAATTTGGCTACAGAATCATATTCAATTTCTCTTCTTTCTGGTTTAAGACACAAAGCTTTAGAAAGAGTTAAGGACTGTTCCCAATTTGAGTGTAGTGAATAGCTTGCTGATTCTGCTTTAAAGAGCCTGGTGTTAAATGTCCTCAAGACTATGAAGAAAACTGTATGTCTCTAATTTCTTTGGTAAATTTTGTTATAATCACTAAATTAAGTATAAGCTACAAAGAAGTATCCCCTCTCACCATGGTCATGAATACAAAAGCAGTTTCTTTGCTGTCCTCTGTACTGGAATTCATGCTGTTAACGAGGGACCTTGACAGCTGGTCCTGCCTACTAACACACTTAAGCTTTCATTTAAAGTTTTCTAAGCAACTCACTTGAACAAAGATGAAATTTAGTTCCATGTTGCCCTTTAAACATCTACTTGCAGTTCTAAATAAAATCTTTATTGTCTCCACTTCCTTTGAAAAATTAAGATGATGGCACACTTATATCACCAATGTGGGATGAGAGAGATTTCAAAATTTAAAACTAAAATGATTAAGCAGTAAGCCTCACCTGTAAAAAAGAAATACATTTGTCTCTAGAGATCACAGTCTTTATATTGCTACACACACACACACACACGTACATTTGGTATAAATGTGTACTTCACTGACTTTTCAAATGTAGATCCAGTAACTCTCTTCTATTGGGTTTTGTCAAAACAATGTATTCAGTCCATTCAGTTAAATATTGAGAGATGTTAATCTTGTTAACTCTAATGTTCTTGATGTCTGTGGAGACTCACAATCCTCTTCTGAGGCATTAAAATGCTTGGCCTGAACATCATCTTGTCTCCCAAATTTTACTGTTTAATTACACATAGGAAAATATTTCCTCCAGTGGCTTTTAAAACTTACAACCTATTAATTCAGTGAATATTCTTGGGAATTCTCCTAACATTATAAAGGCACCATAATTAGCTTCTAGATTTATTTCAATAGATTCAAGCAAACATGTCTATGGTGAGGTTTTCTTGCCTTTGTATCGTTGTACAACAGTCTTAATATTATCAGATATCAGGAGCAACAAGCTATAATACTTAAATCAGTAGAAACACTTCTGAGGCACAGAAATCATGCTTTGACAAGAGTGGAATAAAGTTCTTGGTTATGGTAAAAAAAAGTATTGGATAAAACACACCAAAGCATACCCCCAGAAAACGAGAAATTTGAGAATGCCATGTCATTCTATTAATAAAAATATAAAAATATAATTTTTAAAACAAACTAAAAATATAATAGCACCTGTTCCATTTGCAAAGAAATCACAACCCTTTGGCTGCTCTATAGTACTACATCTCTGATTCCAAAAAAAGAGGGAGAAAAAAATTTTATATATGGGACATTTTATATATGGGACAGAATTTTATTTATGGGCATTTTATATACGGGACAGAATAACCTAAACTACTACTAATGTGACTTACTGCTACAGAAAGGAGAAAAGTTTTAAAGGCAGGAATACTCTCAAATATTGTTTTGCTTCAAAATGCCTTAAAAGCTAAAGAAGCTAAGCAAATATCAAAGGAGATCTATGCTCCTACAAGTTTATCAGGAAGTAAAAAAAAAAAAATCACTGAAAGACTATCATTCATCATGGATCCAACACACATCAACTATTATATCAATTCTGAGGGTAAACACATCACCTCCTGGGATCCAGATTAGATTTCAGTAATTGTTGAAGATGCCATGATAAAATTTTATAAGTATTTTTTAAATGTGACAAATAAAATCTGTACTATCCAGAAGAATTTTTTGGCGTTTTTTTCTGTGAGGTTTTACTACAGGTCACACAATTTTTGTCATGCTTACATAAAATAGTTCAATATTACCGCTTTAAGCAGTCTAGGATTTTCAGACATTTTTCTTCATACATCCCACTTAAAAACAAGAACATCAATGTCATATTCTGAGGGTTTTTCCACATATTTATTTAAGTCTTAAGAATGTTAAAAGTACCTCCAAAAGCTGAAAATTAAATCCATCAGCCACTTACCCCTTTTTTGACAACAAAACGTAAGTTCCAATTTGCAAAGCATGTCAGCATTCTCATACTTGTCTTCTTCTGCCTTAACCCAAAAACAGGATTCTGTCATCTCCTGAGGCCTGATCTACAAGCAAGAGACAAAATAAAATTTTATTAATTATTTTGATACTATGCAGTAACTGTGCTCTGTAAAGTCTAAAGCACATTAAATATTTAAGAGCTCTGTAAAACTTGTGAACTTTTAGTACACAACTCATCTTTACAGTTGTCAATATATTTCTCATTAAAAATAATAACACTTAAAATAAGTGGGTTTGGAAAAAATTATTCTAACAATGCAGAAAATACACTCTGTTATCCAAGATCTAAAAGGAGCAAATTAGCTTTGGTCTAAATTTAATAGTTGGGCAAACATCAAATAATCTCTGAACACAGTTGCTTTAACTAGATATTAAGTACCTTACTTTTCAGAATGCAGCTTGGATTACTTTATTAATTGTGAAAATCTCTTTACTAACTTATTTTTCGTCTAAATATAATTATAGTCTCCAAACTCAGTAGACTGGTATACTTAATCTTGTCAAAATTTTTACAAGATTAAAACCAAAACCAACCAAACTCCAAATTCAGTCTGTATTTTATCAACCATTAAATTTATATAAGTAGATTGATGTAAGTACACTGAAGTACTACAGACAAATGCACTCCTCCTTTCCAGTCCAGGCTAGATAGATTCAAGACTTGTTTGGAAACGGTATAGCTATCAGTATAGTTCAGTGACTGATCCAACATAAGAAGTCTGCTGAAAAATGAGCCATAATAGGACTCAGGAAGCATAAGAAGCATCCTGCTATCAAGGTTATGTTATTCTAGACCAGAACTGACTTTTTGAGGCATCTCATAAAGTCAACAGATATTTGTCCAGATGATTCATAGTTTAATGGAGCACAGTTTTCAAAAAAAGAATGAAAAGCTAAATACAGAAAGTACTCTTATCTTACATAATTTTAACTAATGAATAAATTGCTTATTTAGTCTTACTTCTGACAATCTATTTTCCCCAAGTTCAATGTCAGATTTTGCATCAAGTATTTGTCATTAATCAACACTACCTTAGACCAGTTGAGTCTTTTCATGGTAACCTCAGGTTTGAATTCTTTTTTAGGCTTCATTCCAAATGGCAAAGCACAGGAAGGCGGGGACCACTGTATTCCAGGCAGGCCTGGTAGAGGCGGTGGTGGAGGAGCACCACCAAAACCCAGAGGAGCTCCCAAGCTATTCAGAAGTGGTGGAGGAGGAGGGGGAGGTGGTGGTGGTGGGATTGCTCTGTTAGAAGGCAGCGGTGGAGGAGGAGGGGGTGGAAATTGATGTGGTCCTGCTCCTTCCAGTGGAACAACAGATGCATCTCCATGAGTTGATGGCAGAAAACCAGGTGGCACAGAGCCATACTGATAAGGAAAATATTCTTATTCAGTTTCACAGTTTTACCAACAGAATGCTGCAAAAATCATAGTTTATAGATTAAATCCAGAAAGCCAGTTGAAAGTCAACACCATTTTTCTTGTATAGAACAGTCAAATAAGGATGATAACGAGCCCAATGTGCTTTTGATTTCATGATCGGAAGTGTCAATATTTGAAGTGGACATTCAGACCTGGGGGGTGCACACCAAAAATGACAAACTGAAATGGTGTTTCCTGCTTTTTGTATTTCACTGACCATGAGCTACAAAGGGTATGATAGATATCCTGATATCTTATCTAGACTACCATGGTTTAGTTCAAATAATAAAAAAAGTAACATCCTAGTCCCTGCTGTTTTCATCCTACAGATGGCAGAGAAACATTCTAAGTACGTAATAGTAAAATCTGAAGAGATAAATAATTCTATTGAAGAACAGGTATCTTCCAATGTAGGAGCATTCTCATGCTACAGAATTGAAAACATGAAGCAATAAAGAAAAAATATCCTTCTAAAAAATTAAGCTTCCTTACATACTAGCTTCTTATTTCATATAGAAATGACATCTATAATGTATCAAAATAGGATTAGGACTTCAGCAACTCTAATAAAGTTACTACTACTATTTGAAAAACTTCTATCATAGGCCTGCAAACGTAAATGAGAAAGTGTCTGACAAAAACGACAAAAGAATAAAGGAGAACTATCTATCTACTGGTGATAGCACTAATTACCTCTTCAACTAACTATGAGCTGAAACTGATTATTTTAGAAAATTGAAGGAAATACAATATGCAAAATATTTAAAATTTCTAAAAGGAAATAGCTAAATATCAATAAATACAAAGGCATGCACAACAGCATGATAATGTTTTGAATTTCTGAGCATAAGCATTGTTTACACTGACAAATAGACACTGAACAGTTGGGCTCCAGAAATGAAAGAAATACATCAACACATACCATTTGCAAGAATTGAGTAAAGGAATGAGACCAGGGCAAAAAGTAGTATTAGAAGTAGATGTCAACATGCTAAGTAGTAATTGATGCCATATGGAAGCCAAAGTTTAAAAGAATTATGTTGCAGTAATCAATTACCTGACATTTACAAAACTTTTCATGTATCCTATTAACAACAGTGGTATAATTCATGGTATGAAAATTAGTGAGCAGAATCATATGTTATGCTCTCTTTCTGCATATTAAAAAAAGTTACATTTCATGCAGTGAATAACAGTAAAAAAGGGAGGAAACCAATTTCACTTACAAAAAATATTTAAGTATGACTTCAAGATATACACAAAAAAGGACTTTCTTAGTGAATGATGTGCCACTCTTACTATATTTGTTTTTTTAGAATGCAACAATTTCTTGCTTCTGTTACATGTTTGACTTTGACATTAACAATTTTGACCACAAACATGAATTATAATGACGTTTCTAAATAGACCAAAGCAGAGCTAAATTAATTTTCCTCACTAAGAAAATTAAAGCAAATAAGTATTTTTTAAAAATCCTCAGAAGTATTAAAATAAACCCCTATAAAGCATCTATTTCTGATGATTTCTTCTTTAGCCATTTTTAGACTGTTCTTCTTGTTCCCGCAAATAAAACACAGGAAAAATCACTTGGTGTCACAGTCTCCTTACATAGATTTAAGATTTGAAGTAGTTACAAGTAACTCAAGTATTACACTCAAAAAATCTGCGCTATTCCTCTCTATCACATTTTCAAATATCTATTTACGCTTGAAAATTGAAAAATTATCAGGAAATGTTCTTATCCAGCCACAGGTTATTTCTTTCACTGCTGGATATCCATGGTAAGGCCTCAGTATAGCAAACTGCATAATAAGTAATTTCCTGTGCAGGGATAAAGATCACAATGATGAATGCTAATCTAAAAGTATAAGACTTATTACCCTATGTGGTTAATTACTTAGGAAATCTATGACTCTGAAAGCAAAACCCAAATGAAATCTAAGAAACTAGTTTAATTAACTGAGCTCAGGCATAAAAGGATCATCTGAGAACTCACAGCTAATTAATGTCACATTACAATTATTTATATACAACAGAAATAAAGGAAACTAACATTCAATAATAATGGATAACAAAGATTCTTTGAAAAAACTCTCAACCATACTATCAGAATCTGAAGAAGATGCAAAAGGAAGTCCCTTTCAAAAACATTATTTCACACATTAATTTATACTGTCTTTTACCTGTGATTTAAAAGCTTGTAATTCTCTTTCAAGTTCATTGATTCTGTCCTCTTTTTTTTGCAGCAGGGCCTGGGTCTCCTGATGAACTACAAAATCTTTTTCAAACTAAGAAAAGAGAAAAAAAAGAAAATTGTTGGTACCAGTCGGTTCTGCATAGTTTCTTTAAATTCCAATTTTTCCTTTTGTGGTTGTTAAAACTCATGTGATGACAATAACAAGGACACATGTCTGCTGTTCCAACTTCCATGTGTCTGCTGAGTGGAAGAATCATCTGAATCACCACTACAGGTCTTTCCTATACAAAATGGCATAAAGACTTAATGTATATTAAGTTACTATAACACAGAGTAGCTTAAAAGCCATGAAGTACAGTAATACAGTCTGTAGATATGAAGGAGTCTGGTTTTATTCTCCCACTGTTTATTTTGTTAGGGAAACTGATAACTGTTGAAATAAAATATTCAGTTGCTTTTTGGAAGAGGTGTACATGAAAACTTAAATAGTAGACAGATTCGCAATTAAGGTTAAGTACTTTATACCACTTGGCTTCGTTGCGTACAAGGAACATCCAAATTCCCACTTTGACACAGAACTAATAGTAAGTTGAAGTTAAGAACTAAGCCATAGCTCAGTTATGTCATTCATTAATCTATTAAGTAATCCCATGTCCATCTTATGATCTCATGATGTAAAAATGCCTTACTTTTCTGGAAAGTTCAGAAGCCTTCTCTTCACATTCTTCTAATCTTGCTTTATCTACACAAACATCTTGAAAAAATCAACAAGCAAAGTTACACATACACAGGGAATAAAAGATTCTTAATAAACTATTCAGTTTCATATAAGGAAGTATGATGTTCTAATCATTTCCAAACATAGTACTTACCTAGTAAGTGACTGAAATTTATATCTAATCTCTTACGATACGTGAAATCTGGGTCTGTTCCACTTCGATGTAACACTATCTGTGACACACACTCTTCAATTAATTTGAAATACTGTGGACTAAAGACAGAGATGAGCTATTTTACAGATATTTATTAATCAATCTATACTTAACATCTTATCTATCAACAAAGTAAAGTCAAAAGCTTTGGGCTGATTTGTTTCCATAGAAAGATAAAAGTTTCAAAGGAAAATTAGGTTTGGCAGTTCATTACACAAAGAGAGTTTACAAAAAGCCTGAAAAAAACAGTGGTCCTGAAGATAAATAACTCTTGCATTATAAAATCTACATCTCCCTCCTTATAGAAATATGGGAAGGAAAGACCACCTCCTGCTTCCTCTCAGTATAGAAAATGCTCTTCCTTCAGCTTGATTCCACTAGTTTTGTGACTTTTGTAGGTACAAGTGCATTGCAACCCTGTTTCAGTACAAGGAATGAAAAACACCTTGTTCTAAAATGCCAGGGGGTATGACAGCTGGGTCACTTGCCCAGAACATGCAAGCTGTGAATTCAAACCTTTTCAGGTGGATGATGTCTAGCACAGATGTACCCATAGCAGGCAAGCACCCTTAACCTTTAAATGTACATCTGTGCTAGACCTTGCCTGAAACGCAAGGTGATGCAGAACGTGGTGCAGAAAACAGATGGCCCTTGTTCAGTTCATACCTCGTTCCTCCAGTGTTTCCTCAAAGACAACACAAGAATTTTGGAAGGAAAGTATTTGTCAGCTTGAAACACCGAAGTTTTATTAACGGTTTCCCCGTAATTTATCTGCTGAATTTTCCAGGAGACACAAACATGTCTACACTGACCTATAATGTATACTGAAAATACTCAATTCCAACCCAAAAGTTACTCTAAATTAGACATCTGTTCAGATTTCTGTATAAAGTGCATTTCTTTGCATACTTGGTTTTGTCTTTTGACTCAAATATACCACAAAATTATAATGCTACTACCATGATTTATAACTGATTAAGACATCTCTCCTGATCACTTATACTTGCAATCAATAAGGCCAAACTCTAAACAAAAATAGTTTTCTATGTTTATAAAATAAAATTATACACTAAGCAGAAGATACGAAAACATATAGATGGCATTATTATTTCCAAGTTGATTCTTTTAAACACAAGTTCACAAATTAAATCCCACACAGAAAGACTAAAACCTATCATTGAATTTATGGAAGAAACATTCTACAAATGACTGAATAATAAAAAAAGAAGCCATACTTAACATTTAACACAGCATTAAACATACCGTATAAAATAGTCATTTCTTATCAGCAAAAGATGTTGGAGAATAGAAAGAAAATATCCTTCAGCACTAGTGTCCTTAACTGTATTCCACACCATGTTGTAAACATCATTTACTTCAGTGAAAGTGTTAAGGAGAATAATAACAAATAATCAAAAAATTTCAATCAAATGTTTACTGATAACTTCTTTAAACAGAAATTATAGCAGAAAAATATCCATTATATGCTTCATTTTGGTCATATTTGTCCTGCTGATATCATGGAATTATTTATGTTGGAATAGACCTCTAAGATGATCAAGTCCAACTATTAGCCAAGCACTGCCAAGTCCACCATTCAGCCATGCCACTACATGCACCATCTAGAAATCTTTTTAAGTATCTCCAGGGATGGGGACTCCACCATTTCCCCAGGCAGCCTATTCCAGTGCTTGACAACCCTTTCTCTGAGAAATTTTTCCTATTATCCAAACTAAACCTCATACAGCACACCCTGAGACCCTTTCCTCTCATTCAGTCACTTGTTACTTGGGAGAACTGACTGACCCCCACCTCACTATAACCTCCTTTCAGGTAGTCATTGAGAGCTACAAGGCCCTCCTGAGCATCCTTCTCCAGAATAACCCCAGCTCTCTCAGCTGCTCCTCATAGGACTTGTGCTCCAGAGCCTTCTATGGACATGCTCCAGCTCCTCCACGTCCTTCTTGTGGGTGAGGGGCCCAAAACTGAGCACAGAATTCAAGGTGCGGCCTCACCGGTGTCCAGTACAGGGCAATGATCAGGGTCCTGCTCCTGCTGGCCACACTATTTCTGACACACACAAAGATCACAGCAGCTCTCAAAAGGATATTCTAGTTCAGATCTAATATCTTCTAAACGATGAGAGAATTCAATCATGTCTTCTTCTTTATGCTCATTGAACACTTTCAGCTGAATATCTAGTGCTTCATTCTTTATACATTGTAGTTGCTGCAAAGAAGAAACAGTACAAAGGTTTGAAAAATTAGCATTTCCATATGTAAATAAATGTATCTTTTTAATAAATTCCATAAATCTATATTCATTAAAAGTTTAAATTTACAAGAACACATGAGTTAAGTTAATTATTCAAAAGTTAAATGTAACTTCAGGCTAGCTTAAAATGTTTGCACAACAGTGTGTCACATGTTCTTAAGCAAAGTCATAAAATGCTACGGAATCAGAATAAAATCAGACTAAAACCTCAGAGAGCACATTTCACCTTTTCATTTTTATTTTAAGGCTGATTCTCATACCTGACTGCTCTTTCCCAAATATAATAAAATGCCTTTGAGAATATTTTATTTGAACTTGTTCTCCTACTCCCACTCTCAGGCTCATATAATTAAAAAATTTAGATAATAATGCAAAGAGAGAAGACAAGATGCTTACTGGCAATATCTCCTTCAATCCACTGCGCATAAATTCATTTCTGATGTGAAGCCTAAAATCCAAGTCATCAGGAGATGTAACGAGAGCATTGATGAGCTGCATGCAAGCTACCTGTAACAGAGTAAAAAATAAACTATCTTAGATTTTAATATGCATCACATTTAAAAAGATACAACAAACGAATAATTAGGCATTACATAATTTCTAATTATGAAACTACTATCATCTTATAAGTAAGCTAGTTAAATTCCTGATCAGCCACATGAGCTATAAATATCAAACTCTAGTTCACAAATTTCCATAAAAAATAAATATTTTGTCACTCCACTGAATTTTGTCATTTTATACAAATATCAAGTTCCTTTAGCCAATGAACTTTAGCAGATAAAGCATAATAATGGACATATAAAAACCATTGCAAATATACATTTATTTATACATATATATAAGAAGTTAGTGACAGAATACAATGTGCGTACAGTGAAACATATCTATTTTTTAAATGCTGAGTAAATTAAACTAATCCTGACAAACAGAATGGACGTTTTTTCCACTTGTTTTTGAAATAGTGATTCTTTAAGCATACTGAGCATTATAGACTACTTCATAGGAATCACTCCATCTCAAAAGAAAGAATCAGGCCAACTGCTGAGCAGATCCTCTTCTGAAAAATCAGAAGAGACTCATCTTGAAAACCCATAGCCAGGAGCAGCAGGAATTCACTGTCCAGAATCACAAGCTTTTGGAATGATGGTAACTTACTGTTTATCTCTAATACGGATTAAAAGAGCCATTATTTCCTTTTTTTGCCCTCTTTATTGTTTGCATGTTTTGCTTCAATTTACAAAAAATATGTTAGTCAAGTAATTCCAGCATTTTACAGGCTTTTTAAAAGCACCAGACCATTAGAATTCTATTTGGACCTTACATAGTATGTCAACAATTAAAGCAATCTGGTTCAAATACTTTGCTGTAAAGCCTAAAAGAGCCTTTGCTGTATAGTTTTAAAAAATGATGATGCATTATGCCATAGGTGACACTGGAAAGATGCTATCCCAGTCATCTTCAAAGTATGCATAATTCCAAGTACTGAATTTACATTTGGTCACAAGAACAACTATGTACAAAGATGTACAAGCTACTTTGATACAGATTGTGAGAAACAATAGAACCTTTTAGGTTTCCAGAAGGAACATGCTAAGATTACATAATAGCACAGACCACAAATATCATCTCACCTTTATCCTACTGCAAAGTATGTAAGCATGAGAGTAGCTTTATATACTGTTTATAGCTGAGCTGTTATGGAAGTGAGTGGCAATTAGCATAATTTAGGCCTGTTTGACTGCAGTATTAGTCTATGTAGATGAACTTACTAGTTAGAATAGAAGAGAACAGCTTAGTTATGAGAACAGAGACAAATGTAAAAAATGTTAAAAATCTGTTAATGTGAACCTGCTGAGAAAATCAAGCAGATTGTGAGCTACAACAGGTTTTTAGGGACCAAGGGTTGGAATTACCCCAATTAAGCATGAGGTATTTGCCACCCAAACCCATAAATGATGGTATTTGGAGTCACTTGAAAAGAGAACCTCAAGGGCCCCACAACTCTGCACTAGGAGTTGGGACCATCTTTTCAGCTTCTGGAGATGTCTGAAAGGACAAGAATGCTCAAGGGAGGATGCAATGGTTAGAACCACTGTTCTGACCCATCCAGTACCTCTCCTGGATAAAAGCTGTCACAACGGCATTCATTCTTAGAATACTCTGTCATACTACATACCTTGCATCAACAATAACTTGAAAACAGTAATAGAAGGAAGGAAAGAACAAGCTTTGCTCCTTCTTCTTACTTGAAGAAAGAACTGAAATTAACTTCTATTCCCTCAGAACTTCTATGAAATTCAGTACATGCAAATATCTACATTTGAATAATAATAGAAAACTATTGTTTGTATTTTATTTACATAAATAAGGAAAATCATACTCAATTAAATATATAAAAACACAGAATGTCCTGAGTGGGAAAGGGATTCAAAAGGATCAAGTCCAACTCCCAGCCCTGCACAGGGAAGTCCCAAGAATCACACCTTGTGCCTGAGAGCATTATCCAAATGCTTCTTGAACTCAGACAGGCTTAGTGCTGTGACCACTTTCATGGGGAGCTGTTCCAGTGCCCAACCACCCTTTGGGTGAAAAATTGATACCAAATCCTAACATCTAACTTAAATATTCCCTGACACAGCTTCAGGCCGTTCCCTTGGGTCCTGTCAGTGGTCACCAGAGAAGTGATCAGTGTCTACCCCTCCTCTTCCCCTCACGAGGAAGCTGCAGATTGCAATCAGACCTCCCCTCAGTCTCCTCTTCTCTAGGCTGAACAGACCAAACGACCTCAACTACTCCTCATACAGCTTCCCCTCAAGGACCTTCACCGTCCTCATTGCCCTGCATTGGACACATTCTGGACTGCTGTTTTATGTTGTCTTATGTCCTTCTTGTATTGTGGTACCCAAAACTGCATACAAGACTCAAAAGTATTATTTAAATCAACTGCATAAGTGTTATGATAGACTTCTGTACTTGCTCCAGTGTGAAACAATAATCAAGTTAGAACACCTAAACAAAATAATACACCACCAGTAGAGGGTAAGAGGAATCAAAACTAACCAATCAAACATGAAAACATATTAAGAGAGACAAAGAACTTGGAAGGATAATTTGTAAAAAGCATCTATGATTAACAAATCCAATTAATCAGAGATAACAAAAGATGGAGAACAACAACAGAATCTTAGGGTCAGTAACAGAACATGGTCCAAAGAAAAAAAGCAACACAAACAGCAACTTTACTTTGCATTCACCTTGTCATACTGGTGTGTGAAAGGATATCACAAAGTAGAACAGAGACAAAACAGTTCAAAAGTGGCAGAAGAACTCAGAGAAACAAGCCAACATGAAAAGTAGCAAAAGAGCATTCACTCTTCAAACATTCAAAGCCTTAAATAAATTGAGGACAAAATAACTGTACTTGCTATTACATCCAAGTTTATACTGAAATTTATCTTGACACTGATAAAAATGACGATGGTAGAAATTATATTTACATTTAAAAGGTCATTTCCAGGAAGAGCTGGACAACTACAGATGGTCAAGTTTGACTTTTTCTACAGTAGAAATATATTTTGTATAGCTGAGAAACAAATTAATGAGTAATACAAAAAATCTATTATGAATAAAGAGACAGTATAAATAAATGTCTTTGCAAAGCAAAATCCTATTTCATGAATCAATGAAAGGTGTTTGAAAGGCCCAAGGAGCAGGCAAGAATGCTCCAACATAAGTCTGGACTTCAAAAATTTAAACAAGTTTGCAAAATATCAAAACAATTCATAAAAATGTAGGAAACAGCATGCTAAGTAGCCAAATCAAAAATTCTACTAATAATAAATAATATTGAATTTGATGTTTAAAAGTTTGGTTTTGGCTCAAAAATTATGTCGTAATAAATTCTGTTGAAGTAATATATCCTAATGTTTTCCCCCCTGCCTCACTGTAAGTCTGCGTTTGTATGTTTTGTTAGCAAAGTATTTAACAGACTTGGCAAGGCAATGAAAGCCTGTTCCTCTCCTTTCGCCATATTCCTTACAGTGAGGGCAATTAGATCATCACCTGATGAGTAAAAATAAACACCCTCACGTATCAAAGAGGAACATACTTACGGTGTATGTTCTTTCAAAAAGGTATTGGCATTACATTAGTAGCACTCAGCTTTAAAAGAACTCAGTTAAATAGGAATATAGCTAACAACAACACAATATTGACTGTTTTGCCTTAAATAAAGTATGTTTCCTGGAGAAAGATCTTCCCAATTTGGGGCTTCTTTGAAGTTATAAATAAAAAACAAGCCTTGGTTATTCTTCTCTTCTTCTGAAGCTGCTAAACAGATAACAATTTGAACCTTTAACTATCACAGTGGATTTTTCATCTTTGTAGTGCCTGTCAGAACAATTCTTATGATACTTCTCCTCCCTGAAATGTGTTATTGTCCTCATTTTATGCAATTTGTTTCTGTATGTATGTCTACAGTATTTTAGAAACTTAGGGGAAAATAAGACTTTGTTAACTTATCAATTATTTTCTTCAAATTCAAACAAAACTTCTGTATTACTCTTCAGGCCTGATTCTGCACAAGTACTTTTTCCTGAGAGTTACTCTGTTTGTTACTGCCAAAGCATTACTCTACACTAGGTAACAAAGAAGGGTGCTAACCCCAGCAAAGGAAACTACAACAACCAAAAGATAAATACAAATAATATAATTCTCCAAATGCCGACACTACAATATCAAAAATTTTGAAACCAGCTAAGGTGCTCAGTCCACTTTTGAAAAGTAGACTGAGAAAAAGCTCCTTGTATTGAATATTTGTCTGTAGTCCTCTACAGTCTTGTTCAGGACATGTGGCCTTATAGCCCACTTATTTTTGCTAATAACAGGCTATGGGTTTTGTATGAAGCTAACATCACATGCTTCCAGACCTCTCAAGCTTCATTGAGACTTGGCTTGCCTGTCTGGAGCTCAGTTTTGGCTTATTTAGTTGCAACAGGATTTGTCTACTAACAGAATCACTATCACCCCACTAGCTGCACATTTTTCTTATCCTTGGTCTCTGGCATAAAGTTTACCATTACAACATTTGTGTAACTAGTGGATATAATATGACCGTAAATGAAATGCAGCATAGAAATGTATAGGTATGGGATGGGGCGGAGAATTGTTAGCACTACTAAAAGCAATTTTATTTGACCACTAAGACATCAGTCAGACTAAAAATTAAATCCTTGGTTTTGAATACCAGGTGTATTTTTTAGGCTCACAAACTGCACAAGTTACAATGTCACAACAGAAGAATTTGGACATCACAAGTGGTTTAAAATGCAAGCAACCAAACCAGTTAAATTTACTGCAAAAAAAATCTTACAGAATATAGTGTTTTATTATCTGAGTATGGGCTTTATTCTTAAAGCTTTTTGTATTTTTTTTTGTATGGTCCACTTTATGAGTATTTGTCTTCCCGTTCAGCAGCCAAGACAAAAATTTTTTCTTCCCCTAATTCTGATCTTATTTAGTTGAAACAAGTTATACCATATCCAATTCATCTCTCTGGAGTACAAAATCTTTCATTCAATTGCATTTTCTGGATTCAATTAGTTGTGCCATTCAAAACCAGTAATTCAGTGCACTGACAGGTGCCACCAACACCTGCTCTCCTGTTAACATCAGTGAGGCATGTCAGTGATTATAGACTTCACTACCATAGAGTCAGTACCAAAGTACAGTACTACAAGGTTACATTTACATTTCAACTTTATGTTGTTTGATTATACACAATTTGGAATCTTTGTCATTGTTATGACAGCAGTTTAAAACACAGTATGTTTTCCTGCAAAACACTATGTGAATGGACTGTTAAGCAAGGAACAATTTATCACAAATGATTTACACTACCAGTGAAAAGCCAATCAGAGAAAAAGTACTAGTATGAAAATCCTGATCAAGAGCAAACTATAGTTTTATCTTTGAGACAGCAAGGCAATTTCAATGAAAGGATATCTACAGATGTAATTGTATCCAAAGAAAAGATTATTTTAATTTGCCAAATCGACACAGTACATATGCATGTGTTACTCAAACAGAGCCATGATACAAGTACAGAAAGCAAGAAATTAATCAGTAAGATGTACTGCTATTCTAGTATTTCTTGTCAAATTTGATGAAGTGGGAATGAAATTGCAGTTCAGAACTAGAACATACGTTAGCCTTCCTGAAACAAAGAAGACAATTACCCAGTGGATAATATTAGCTAACTATTTATTTGTGTAGGAATACAAATAGTAGTGAAAGTCTCAAACACAAGCCTACAAAAAGCAGAATGAGAAAAAGTTATACAAGAGGAAAGAAAAACAAGTCTAAGCAAGGCACATTGGTTACACATCTAGATTTGAGTAAATTAGATAACAAAATGTTTTTTCTAAGTTTAAAAACTTTTTAAAGGACTAAAGATAAAGGCAAAAGCAGGAACCTGATAGTAGATCAAAAACATTTGAATCATACTCCAAGTGAAACTAATTCGATACCTAGCAGCACAAAATACTTAAATCACACAAGATCACAATAATTAGAAATTAGTTTGTGCAGTCTTGACATTGAGGTAAGGTAAGCTTTGTTCTGATTGACCCTATTACACAAGCAGTTATGGAAAGGACCTCATTAACACAGAGCAATCAAGAATCACCAAGTTATTCAGCAAACCAAAATGTCACAGCCATCTCACATCCTCATATTATTAAATGATAAAGATTAAATGGCATTCCCTGACAATTAAAAACACTAGGAGGATATTGACGAATACCTAGGATCTTTTACTTTGTCACTAAAACACTCCTCCTAGGATACACATGAACCTGCATGTTTCCACAGGGATGAGCAGTATTCTTTTTTCAGGAACTTAACCAGGAAAGGAAAAATTGCAGCTTTGTTTCACCATTCTTCCTCTTCTCACTCTTAACTGGAAAATTAGAAGGAGATGGCATCTGCAACTAAATCTGCATGGAAGAATAACACTCTCCTGTTAGTTAAACCTCCTGCTTGAGAAGCAGAGCTGAAAGTTGATTAGAGAGTATAAGCACTCATTTGATTCTCCTAGAAGAATGAGAAGTAGGCAATAAACAAGTTGTTGTTGTTGTTTTCATAACTTTCTTACATATCAAAATGGCTTGTGTCAGAAGAGCTGTATTTCCTGCCTCCATGACTTGAACAAGCAAAGCATTAGACTTTACAGTTGTCATCATAAATACACAAGGTACCAGACTGCCCAGTACGCCTTTTAGGCTTAAGGTGTGAAACTACATTTACCTTAACAAAACCAGAAACTTGATATTACTCCTGGCAGTAGTTATATGTTCAGAATAAGACTACTAATCTTCTCTTGAACCAAAATCAATTAAGTATGCTTTCCATAACTTTAGATTTTATGAAAGATACAACATCTTTTGCATTCAACAAATGCAAAAAAAAGATAGAGCTTTTACTAAAAATACAAAAACCACCCTACTGAGGCCTTTTATGTATTCAGTCTTCTAGTAACAGAAATGTTAAGTCAATTCAAAATTGAAAAGGTCAGTTGTTAGTGTCAAATTGAACCGCCACAAAGCAAGCATACATACATCAAGCAGACAAGCAAGGCAAGTATGCCAAGTAACTGACAACTGTAAACTTCTGTCTCATTAAAACCCTGTCAAATTAACCATCAGGTCAATGTCATTGTTAGAAAAGTTTACAGCTGATACACATGAGGAGGCTTGATTTTTCTGGTCTTTAAAAAATAGAAATCTAGCAACCATTTATGAAGTCTGAAAAAGTAAATATCAAAAAGCCTTTTAGCAGAAGGAACATACTTTAATTAAAGTTTAACCAAAAAAAAAAAAAAGAGAGAAGAACTTTTAATGAGTTTCCATATCTACACAAGATATAGCAAACTAAATGGCAAAGCATTACCTATTTGCAGGAACTTCAGGCTAACACTCTCAGCAAAGCCAAATAAATATATTTAGCATAAGTATTTTAGCAGAAGTATTGCAACAGTAACATTTAGAGTAAATTCTCATTTTTAACAATGCTTCTATCTTCTATATTAGAGGATAACAAAATACAAGATGGATGTATAGTCCAACTGATACAAGGAATAACTAGTAGAAACAAATGTTTTTAACATCTGAAGAGTAGTCCTAGAAAAATTCAAATTGCTACTGTATAGGTAACTCAGCTGAAGTTTTCTGCACTGATTTGGTTATCTCACCAGTGGTATCTTGCTCATGGAGCTGAGCACCCCTGCAAACAGTGGGTACCCATCATGGGTAAAACAAGAGGTACAAAGGATTAACTTAACCTGCCTGATGCCTCAAATAGAGCAATGGCTTGCTTCAAGGGGAGTTTCACATGCATTTTCAACTATAAAGAAAAGGAAGTTACAGACAGTAACTTCTTTCTGTATTAAATCTACAGTAGGTTTTTTCCTTCATTAAATCTACACAGATGCAAATATACAGAACCCCTGAATATTCAGCATTACACTCAAAACAACATCCTCCTAATTTCAACTTGGTAGTCCTCAAATCCTTATATGATCTACACAGACTCTTGAATTCTCATAACTTAGATACAACATCATGGAACTGAAAGAAGAATTTCTGTGATCTAAAGTATTGCATCAATGAATCAAATAATAATGAATGAATCATTAATATTTTTTAAAATCAAAATATTTTTAATTATTTTTTTTTTTTATATCTCAGAATTTGTTTGAAATTCCATAAAATTCATGGATAGCCCAGGGAAACTGTGGATGCCCCATCCCTGAAAGTGTTCAAGGTGAAATTGGACTAGGCCTTGAGCAACCTTTGGTGAAAAGACGTCCCCTTATGGTAGCCAGGCTGGAAGCACATGGTCTTTAAAGGTCCTTCTGACCTGAAGAAGGGACAATTTTTTAAAAGAGAAGTCCATTGGTACTGGCAAAACTGAACTACAAACAATTCTCCACCTGCAAATATTCATTTATGGTTAGCTTTTCTGTGAGACAAATGAGACAAACAGCAACTTTTATTGTCAGACAAACTATTTAATCTTAAAGCTGAGTAATGCAAGCATTTCTTTCAAACTTTAATCTTTTACTATTTTTGTAATAGTAACTAAGAGTTGATGTGGGAAATGCAAGCATAGAGAGCTACCAAGGCCTCAAACATGAAAGTTCAGAGATAGAGATGGATACAGTGTTTGACCTAAGACCTTGGAGAAGGCTTGAAGCTTTAGAATAGAATAGTGAAACACACTTGAAATATGAATAAAGATTTGCAGCTTAAGCCCAAATATGCTTTAAGCAAGTAGAAATATGTCTCATGTAAGCAAATAAATATGTTAAGCAAGATAGTAGAATATTTTAAAGATTTTAAATTATGAACAGCTCTCAGTTCAACCCGATTACATAAATATCAATGAGTTCACATCTACACTCTCAGACCAATGATTTATAATGATCATTCAAACAAAGTTAATACTTTGTGCCTTCCAGCATTAAACTCTACATCCAACTGAAGCAAAATGAAAATAAGGTGAAAATTTTCTTTCCTCAGACCCTCTGAGTGCAATTTTATGATATCATAGGGTGAGCATGAGAGACAGGCCTCCCAATGATTTAAAACATTAATGATAAATAAACACTTGCTTTTTTATTATTATCAATATCCAATTTCAACAAATATTTCCAGAAGTGATACGATCTTTTTGCATCCAAACATATGACTTATCTTTTATTTTAAATATATACTTTCTTTTAACTCATAAAGCTAAGATCTCACTGAAGAGAAATCAACAGATTGACCTGCAACACCCTCATGTTTCCAGGCTGAATCTTCCCATGCCACACCTTAAAAGACAAAATGATAAATAATATTCCAAAATTTGACCCCAACTTGAAACAGTACCCCTACTCCTTTTTATTGTAATGACTTGTTCAGTCCAGAAAAACACGTAATTTTACTTTCACTTGTTGCAGTGGTTAAAAAAAAAAATACTTACTTGCAGCTGAACTGAGTTATCCTGAAGACCTTCTACAATAGGAGAGAATCTATCAACATTCCTCTTCTCTGCTGCTGCTGTTACAGCTTCCAATATTTTTTCAAGGCTGTGAGAAAAGAGTATTATTTCACTCAGGATAGATTATTTAAACTTAGTTATTTGCTATCTTAAAACCCATGCTGCCAAATTATTGACCTGCCTCAATTTCTTGTAAAAAAATTTAGGCAGTTTAAGCAATAGTTGTTGCCTTTAGACATTTTTGTAACCAAAGGATGACTTACTGGATTACGAGGGTTAAAAAATGTATGCTAATAAATATTAAGCAAAAGAATTGCTGCATAACTACTTCCATCTAACCAGTACATCTAGATGTGAAAAAGAAAACTCACTGATATGGCCATGATAAAAAAACTCAAAGGTAGTCTGAAAACTGACAATATAATACAGATATTACTTTCAAACCTAAATTGAAAATTTTATCATTTCATTCAGAACAACTATAATTAGGGATATTGTAAAATTACCTTACGATTTCTTGCTTAAATACAGTACTTACATGTTTTCCTCTCCAACGATGCACATTGCAGATAAGAGTTTAACTATATCCGTCATCATGTTAGTTTGCTTGGGATCAATTGCTTTGGTCAGCAACAAAAGACTTCTCTCTTCTCCCAAAATTCTTTCCAACCCATACTAAATAACAGAAGAACATTTGTAAGGGAGGGACTCCAAATGACCATCAAGTACCTAGTAATGACACCATTCCCCTCAAGTAGGTATTTCAAACTGCATTTTACTCTGTGAAATAACAAAAAAAAAAAAAAAAAAAAAACAAAAAACAAAAAACCAACAAAAAAAACAAAGAGAAAAGTGCCAAATAGGTCACTTATTCTGTAAGAAAGGCATATAACACCATCAAAAGTTTACATTATTGTCTTTGAATATTTCAGAGAGAAAGTAGCAGACTTCTGGTAGACAGAAAGAACTTCCAACCACAACTGACCAACCCATCACTTCACCAAATTGCATGAACTTATACTCACCTTATCTAATTGAACTGTAGTAATTTAGTTTCTAGAATAAATAAAATCCCATACCTTATTATTCATGAATGCTCTCAAACACTGTATAACTTTATGCTGACTCCTTTTCACAAGTCTGTCCTGACTGAATAAATCAAAAATTTAGTGTAAATAAATGATCTTTAAATATTAAGAAAAGTTAACTTTATATTAAGACTTTATATATATATATATATATTTATGTATATAATTAGAGATTATATATAATTTATATTCTATTTATATTTAGAAAAGCTAATTTTATATTAAATCCTTACTTTTTTGTCTCAACCAATCGCTCCAAAACATCCAACAGAAGTCCCAGACCTTCTTGGCCAAAGTTTTCAACCCAGCTAGAGAGAAAGACATTTCAAAAAAATGACATTTCAAAAATTAATCACAGTGAAAGAAAATTGTCATGATAAATAAAAGCAGGTACAACTGGGTGGTGCTAAACCCAAAATATCTTCAAGAAAACACAACAAAAATTTTAAATTTCAGCTACTACCAAAGGCATCTTTTGATGAGGTTAAACCCTTGGCCAGTTGTTTCTCATGAGAGAGATGCTTCATGGTCCTGTTTAGCATTGCTCAAAACCCCTTGATACCAAATACAAGTAACACCACACTGACAGCAGCACTAACAATTATAGGAAGAGAAAACCAGATTTTTTTTTTGTCTTCTGAAAGTAAATATATTATGAAAATAGATTTTCTCTTTCTCAGATGGGTGTTTTATTCTAAAATAGATTGGGCAAATAACTGGCAACTATTTTTGGCATACCTGTCCTAAAGATAATCCTACAAGATTAATTTCTTTGAACATTTTGTACTAGCAGAATTATATGCAGCCTCTTTGCTGTACATCCAACAGTTGGGGATGATCAGCTAAGTACTGATGCATTCTTACTGCCTTTAACTCTGCTTCCACAAGAGAACAAAGACTACTTACACTACCCAAAGAAAACACTCAGCTTTTTATCATTCTGACAAAATACTAAGTTATCAATGTTTCTATTTTCAATGTATTTTTTAAAAAATATCTTCTTAATGAAAGTCAACCTGTTGCAACTATTACACAAAAGGGGAAGAAATAGTTGCAGATAACTACTTCTCTGTAATAATATGTACACTAGATCACTTGAACTAGTTTTGATGAGCTATGCTGGTAACTGTGAGGTCAAAACACCTAAATTATTTACCTGAAGATTAGTGACCAAGATTGTCCTTTTAGAAACTTTTTTTTTATAGTGATGGGAAAAAACACAGCTTTTTGCAGTAAACCATATATTTCAATACCTGTTTCTAATTACCAGAGATCAAACAACTCCGTAACACTTGATTTAGATTTTCTCTGTGAACTAAAAATACAATTTACAAAAAAGACTGATTGAAAACCCTTTGTAAGAATAACTCAGGCTACTGTAAAGCATGTTTCTTTCCACATAAACCATTACATATTATAAATAAGATTACTCAATTCAGAAACAAATTAATAGAAGGAAAGAAGCAAATACCCATAGAGAAGACCTACATCACCAACTCTGCCAAGCCAGACACAGACAAAAGAAAGTTGTGCAATCCTTTTCTAATCCTGTCTTAACATTTCATGTGTATTATATTCAACTACACCCTAATCAATTTCCCTAAATCATGTGTACAACCATTGTCTTAAATGGTAACTCTAAACAAAACAATGTAAATAGAATAGGAAAAATACAATTTAATAAAATAAAGTCAGCATTCACAAATTAGCCTGCATGGAACAAGTCAAAATTAAGACTTATCAGTGATTACTGATGAGTTAACCTTGCTTCAATAAAGCACAGGTAAACAAATGTTGTGCTTTCTTCTGTATAGATAAGCCCTACAGGTACAGAAAAAAAAACACCAGAAGGAAGGAAGGAAGGAAGAAAGCCTAAAGTACACTGGACAGAAGTAGCAGCACATTTAGAAATATATATGTAAATATATATGTTTATTTATATATTTCTAAATATATACATTTATATGCATATAAACTTATATATTTAGAAATATATAAATAAAGTTACACCAAGGTGCCTAACTCCCATTATTGATTGCCCTGACAAAAATAAGTTAGAAGATAAAAGACTTAGAAAATATTTCAAAAATAAAATTGAAAAACAATTGACTACTTAGCACTAGGAAAAAAAAGCGAACTGCTTCTGCATCACATTTAATTTACCTTCTCTTAGTATTACCCTGTATAGATCACCCAACTCTATTAAAAATAACAGACCTACAGAGGATACATAATCAATGAAAAAGAGAGAAGTTAAAATCACTCACTACTGCATACATACTCATTAACTGGAAAACCGTGAGACATGTACATCTACATATTCATTAATTTTAATCCATTAAGAAATTAGAATATTATTAATCTCTTCAACATGTGTTAATGGTGTTACCTGACAGGATTACTAGTCAAGGACACACGGAGAGATTCTAAGCAAGTGACTAGTCTTTCATCCGTTGACCCAGATTTTAAATCCTGAATAAATTCTTGCGGAGAAATCTTCCTACTGTTCTTGAGACTTCCCTGAAACACAGAAAATACACTTGTTCTTTATATGGTGCATATAGAACATAAATAGATTATTAATAGGTAAGCTTCATTTCTGTTCTTGAAAAAGATATAATGTAGACCTCTAAACCCATAACTGATGCCTATCTACTATTTGCCAAATACTGACTAAATTTGGTCATTTTATGAATAAATTTATTATCAGCAGACAAAAACAACAGGCATGAAATGTACAAATTTATCACGCATGCTCGGAAAAATAAAACTTTTGTATTGAATGGATTCTGTTTATGCATTGCAAACACCTTAATAGTCAATATTCAACAGAAGAAAAAAATAATTATGAGGTCCTCTGAAGAGATCACAGAGCACATGTCCAGAAGGGTGACTGCACTATCATAAGCATACAGAGCCAAGAAGCAGCATACCAGAACACTCAGCAAGTTACTGCAGTAACTTCTGATCTTGCAGAAGTAGACATTCTTGTAGACATCAAAAAATAAGAAGGCTAGTCTACCTAATATCCAGTTCACATGAAGGACAGATATATTTTCTACAGGACATATCTAAATACAAAAAAAGCAAGCATACAATGGTGCATAAAGAGTTAATTCATTGCAAGACTCCTTTTTTCGAAAATAAAGCACAATTGTCATGTTACACAAAGAGACTTACTAAATAGTTCTTGATCAACTAGTGGCTTAAGTCAGTAATTGAAGAGAATTAGACTTGCAGTGCAATAATAACTTGAAATGATTCACTGTAAATGGTGAGATAGTCTCACTATATTATTACAGCTCTCATTATATTATTATCATATTAGTTTCAAACAAGTGATGTTTTATCCCTTTGTTAGATCCTCAGGAAATACTGAGATGTAATCTTTTTTTCTATGAAGTAGAAGATGATTAAATAGTTTCTAGCAAAGAAATGAAGTTAAAAGCTAGGAAGGCATGGTTGACAGACCAGGCTGATGAGCTGCCATCCAGAGGGACCATCAACAGACAGAAAAAAATGGGCAGAGGAATTTCAGGAAGTTCCACAACAGAAAACTGTAAATCTTGAACCTGAGGAAGAATAAACCCATGCACCAACATGTGCTGAGGCTACCAGCTGGAATGTAGGCTTGTAGGAAAATAGGAGTTGTGATGGATGACAAGTTGACCACAGGTAAGTGCATCACCAGCTGGTTGAGGGAGATGACCCTTCGCCTCAGCTAAGCAGTGGTAAGACATCTGGAGAATTGTGTCCAGTTCCTGACTCCCCAGCATGAGAGACATGGACATATTGGAATGAGTTCAGAAAGGGCCGTGGACACAATTACAAGAGAATCTGTAGTACATGGAGAGGCTGGTAGAACTGAGATTGTTTAGCTCCAAGAAGAAAAGGCTCAGGGGAACCCTATCAGTGAAAGGACAAGAAGAATAAATTGAAATACAGGAAATTGGTTAAACATAAGACAACATAAATTTCTCCCCTCCTCCCTCTGTTTTCTTAAGCATGAGGCTGGTAAAGCACTGGAACAGGTTGCTTGCTCAGGTATACTGTGTAGTCTCCCCTATTAGAGATATTAAAATTGGAATAGGTAAAAAGTTGGATGCAACTATCTCCAGGGTCTCATCTAATTCTATTCCATGACTCTGTGACAACAGAACAGTGGGGGTTATAACAGTCTCCACTCCAACTATATTTCCTCAGACTTGATAACAGATGGTCCTGACACCCAAAAAAAACCAAAAACCAAACCAAAACAAAAAAAAAAAACCCAACAACAACAAAAAAACACCTGCCAGGAACCATCCCAAAAATATATCGTCTCATGCTATATTTTGAAACATCATGTATAATACATGCAATGTCATTCCAAACATGCTTCTGAATTTATGGGTATCCCTAGTTGCTTAAGTATGAGGGTAATTTCCAATAACTATGCTCCATCAAAGAAAAGTAGATGAGATGTAGTGCAAAGGATGAGGATTGAGGTGAGAATCTGGAAGACAGGTCTAGGAAACCCAAAGAATACTTTAAAAAATCAGGAACAATAGATGTTCCCACAAACAAAATGAAACTCAGTATTTTCAGTTTTCTTTCATGGATCATTCCAGCTGGACTCTGCATAGATAAGATAACAGACTGACTAGAGACAAAATGACCAAACTCCCAGCAGCCTTCATGACAAAGTATTTAACTAAATGCTACAAGAGAGTTGGAAATTTCAAGAAGTCTCAGAAATTCTGCTGGCAGCTCCTGATGCGCATACACTACTTGATAAGCACAACTTGTATGCCTAAGCATAAGGATTAATATCCTGTGTAGAGAATCAGTCATTTCCAGTGACTTCTCCCAGCAGTTCCTGCTGTAAAATTGACAAAACTGATGGAACCAAAATACTTATAAGTTGTCAGTAAAATTTCTTTTTTTTGATGCACAGTCATATAGGACAGTCATATGGACAGGACATACAGTTAAGATGGTTAGAAGATATTTTGGAGGGAATTTAACATAATCAATAGCAAGTGTGTGCAGTGCAAAGGTCACATGGGACAGGAGCCCAGTCATACTAGAAGAATTCACTAGAATGACATTTCAGAAAGCCTCATGTGACCCATCTGAAAACGGTGCCACATGCAGTGGAGACTCACATCAACATTCAGAGAGTAACCAGTCATCCTATTTGAAACTCAGTCCCCCACTGGACTGAGTTTCAAATTACCCTGCGCAAAAGAACCAGTAAACTGTGAATGTCTGCACAACAACCTACCACAGTGCTAAGTACCACTTATTCAGTTATGCCGAAGGTCTGCAACATAATAAGAATATGATACATCTGCCAGTGCTTAAATAGAATGAGAGCTGCATTTGGTATCAATTGTGAAACAGATTATATTAGCTGTATTTCAGCATGAGAAAAGCTGCTTAAGTTCAAAATGTTCAAGTTTACTGAGAAAGAGGAAATATCTTGAGGCATCAGCGCCTCTAGAAATTTAATTGCTAAACTGAAGAACAACTGAGCAGATGCAGCATGAAGTCAGCATTAATTAATCTAGTTAAAATATCACAAGAGCACAATGTGAACAACAAAAACAAAATATTGAGAAGAAAATTCACTTTAAAATCCCAGTTTGTGTGTTTTCAACATATAAAATAGCAAAACCTATGGTTGAGTAACATGATAACAATGCTACTTTTATTTCCCCTTGAGTATTAACCTTATAACATGGAATTTTATTTTCAAAACTTTTCTGCAAGTATTACAATGCAAAGAGGTGTGTTTTTTGCTTGATTATTGGAAAGAAGTTGTGTACTTCTGAGAAAGAGAAACCCTGACACAGAGGTCAATGATAAAGCTTTGATTACAGTAGAGCCCACTTTGATCACCGGAGGCTGTTTCATTTTCATTGATTCATTAGAGGTGCGTCTCTGTTCTTCTTTAAGAACTATTTTAATAGTTCTTAAAATGATAATTACTTCAAATGAAACACTACTCTCCATAACATTTATGAATGATGATATCTTTCCCAAGGCAAACTATCTTAGTACCCATCTCCTTAAAGTTCAAGAAGTATGAAAAGAAGTACAAACTATCAAAAAAAGTTACTACAGTATCACGTATAGAAGGAGAAGCCCAAGATAAGATTAGTTGCACACAATAGTCAGGAGCTACGTGGCATTTCAACTGTTCCAAAAAAGTATGACACTTTCACGAAGTCAAGGTACACAAAAAGTTAGCCAAGTACTCTTGGGATGCAGTACTCTATTCTCTGTAGACTCAGACGGCACTCAGTCCAGCTAACTTGAGGAATGAAAGAGCATGCCCAGAACAAAGAATTTTCAATGGCAAGGGAAGGAATTTCCCATCCCAGTAGCTCCAGCACTAATCCATAATGATCTGCAGCACAAGTGGATCAAAGTATTGAATCTGTGCCTCACTGAAACAGCCTCTCCTAGTACACAACAGGTGAACGTCACTTCCAGTAAAAACACAACAGCAAAAAGAGAGTTCAGGAAGGACAAGTTTCCCTGCATGGATTGGTCTTCAATCATCTCCCATCACAGAAAGAGGAATATGTCAGCTAGCAGCAGAGGAAGGGAACAGAAAGGAGAAAAGGCTTTTGGGGGCTTTAGGAAAACACACAAGACAACAGTGTGTGGTAACAAATCACTGCCCTGGGGGAGGAAACAGACCTGTCCTCTTCAACAAATCACTTTATACAGCTCCTTTGGGCATAGTGCAAGAACCTTCATTACCAAATCACAAATGTGACGACATCCAAAGAAAAAAGGTAAATAATGAATGGCACTCGGAAAGAAGGACCAATGAGATGTACTCTGTGGCCAAGAAGCAATGACATGGAAACCTTTCTCTTGACAAAGAAAGCCTTAACATCACCACTATCAGCATGCTATGATTTCAACAACAGATATGAATGCAGCAACTCTGTACAGCCAGTCATGTTCTATTATCACATTATTTTTTTATATCAAAAAACTGAGGTCTTAAAATACATATAGAGGCTAGGGGTGCCAATGATATATAAACTCTCACATACTATTTTGGGTAGATAAATTTCAAGAATGTTTTAAGATATACTAGTCTGAAGTTTCTTGATTTCCCATGCAATATCTCTAAAAAAGAAAAACAAGCTAGACCTAATCTTCTGGTATTAAGGACCTGTTAAGCTATAGACAAGACTAGTAGCTTTGATAAACTCATCTTAAATAATCTCCAGGCAGTTAGGTCCTGCACTAGGCATACCAAACTTGCTAAAAGTACTCAAGCATAACACAAATAAGATACATACTGTGAAGTAGACGGTAAGATAAATATCTCACTTAAATTACTATATTTAATGTTTTAATCTCTCAGTATTTAGTTATAATTACATCCAGTCAAATTTTACTGATATCTATAGTTACATACAGCAGTGAGAGTTGAAGATTCAAACATATGAATTCTAAAACAATCAGAATAACTGAGGACAGGATTAGCTCTGCAGCATTTAGTGCAGGAGTCAGTTCTCATTCTGCAAAAACTAAGCACATTTTCTTATGCCAATTTAATCCTTAATTTGGCCCTTATATACAACTCCTTGCACTGCTTTAGAACAACCAATCTTATCACTACAGGTAAAAAATGGACAATAACTGATTTTGTGCACAACAATTTCATTATCAGCTATTACGTAGCATCAAACTTGAAATCTATTTTAAGTCACACATGAAAAAGACTCATCAGTTAAGAAATTCTTTTAAAACAATGATAGAAAAGAAAAAGGTTCACACCAAACTTTTGCAAGAGGTTTTTGCAGAATCTTTCCATCTCTACTCTTAGTCATACCTTTACCAAAAAGAAATGCTGGTTTCTGTATAGAAAACACATTTCAAGTACAAGTGACTATCTGCCACTGTAACTTGTAAAATAGTAAGACAGACACAAACATTTTTAAAGGGCACTATGAGAAACAGAAGTTAGTCAAAGGAATGCGCGCATCACTTTTTCTGACCAACAGGAAATAACATAAGCTTTTAGTAATTTACTTACAGACTTGGAAGCAGTGCTAATATATTGCATCACCATTTCTTTTTTGGTATTAAAATCCTTTTCTCTCAATGGCATCTTCTTGTCTTCATTTAAATTCATATCTTCCTAGAATGGGATAGAAAAAAAAAAAAAAGTCTTAAATGCCATACATCAACAGAATGATTTTAATGTAAGAGACTGACTTAAATAAATAAAGACACAAAAATACAAACTCAAACAACTGAAAGCTGTTATGCAAACACTTTTCATAAGATGTTATCAAAACCTTAAAAATCCTTATCCATATTCCCTCTGAACTCAGACTGAAAGAAACCAAAAACAGTCAACTATGCTAGGATTAACAAGTGTATCACAACCATTTTTAGTACACTATTCTTAGGAAAGACCTACAGTTCCACACACACATACACCAAACTACAGAAGAGCATTATTTAATACTTCTCAAAACATTTATAAATGTACTCAAACCAGTATTTTACATATTTTTAATTTCTATTTTAATTTTTAATTTATTCTGTAATTCTCTTCCTCTATTCCCAAATGCTTCACCTTCGCAGCAGAATGTGGTTTGCACTGAAACTAGTTCACAAATCAATAATCACCTTTGCAATAAGAAAGGCCAAATTTCCTAAGGATTAAATCAAAACATTCAATCATTATCAAAACCCCATCATAATTCATTCACACCAACATAAATCCAGAGGTCAAAAAGAGCAGAGAGAGACCATCACTTAAAACCACACAAGTGACACTTCTGAATAGCACTAGCATTTCTGACACAGGGAGTTCTCCTGTTCCAGCCTAGAAATGCTCTGATCTTTGTAATCAGTTGCATATCTGTGAAAAATGGCATTTCTCAACATGGTGTAAGTTAATGAATAAAAGGGAAAATAGTAAAACAAAATTTTAAAAAAAGTTTTCAAGAAAAATTAACAATTTTTACACACACATATAAAGCACATACAGTACGTGCTTTACTACATGCATTACTCAAGCTCAGCAAGAATTAACTGCAGTTATTTTCAGCAGAGACTCATGAGGTGAATCCTCACCAGCTTTGGCAGGAGCAATGCTACAAAATCAGTGAGTAACCATCTTGATATCAAAGTTATTTCACCTAGTCAGGAATCATAAAAAAACAGCACAGACAATGCTTAGAATTTGTACTACACCAAAACTTAAGTTCCCTTGTCTTTCAATAGCTTTCATGCTGAGTAGAAGAGAATGAATCACAGTTCCTAGAAACATTTACACTTTTGTATAAATCCAAGCTTTGAAAAGTTATTGCAGAATAGGCTTGACCCCTGTCCTAGTTTCAGCTGGGATAGGGTTAATTTTGGACTTGAACTAAAAAAAACCCTTTTCATGTTATCATGTAGCTATTGCAAAGTTCATTCTTCTATTTAAAGTAGTTTCTTTCAGACTGTCTCTTTCATGTGTTCTGAAAAGCAGCTTCTAAACTTAAATAAAAGTATCTAACTTCTAAACAAAATAAAAAAAACCCCAAGAATTAAGAAACCTATCAAAACAAACTGTATTCAATAGGCCTAGATATAACAGCAGGTTAATTTATGGGAAATATTCTGTGTGTACAGTAAAAAGTAATTTCTTTGTTCTTGTTTTTAACAAATGAAACATCATTGAGACAATTAATTTATACAGACTAGAGTGATACAAGGGGCATAACAGATATTGCTTAGTTAATAAAATAATTCATCTCCATCCTTTGCTTCTTAAATAACTGAAATATATTCTACAGGTAAGCAATACCTCTTTGGAAAAGAAGAATACATCATTTCACATGGATATTTTCCTAATATCACTAGGAAATAGCAGTAACAGAAATTAAAGGAGGTAAATGACAGTTAATTATTATCTTTAACCATCTGGTTTTATGAGCTCTTTCATAATTTTTGCCATGAAAACCACACAAGATGCCACTGCATAAAATACTAGGAGAAGGAAGCTATATGCATCCAGGATAACCCCAAGTACAAGGTAAGACATTCAGTAAACCCAAGAATTTAAAAACTTCTCCCTTCAGTACTAGCACATTGACTATTTTTTCATACAAAATTAGTTCTAAAAGCCTGGCTACAACAAATTGTTCAAACTGTTCACCAAACCACCCCTCCAAATCACTTAATTTCATCAGAACAGCAAACTAGAGGCTACAATATATAATTAGCTATGTAATCTACTGTGACTAAACTAGCTTTATTTCAGCCCATTCAAATGTGGATAATCTGAAAAATCCTTTCTGTAGTGCATGTTATAGATAAAACAACACTGATAAAGTAGCTTAATACAAGTTTAAGTGCTTTGTTATTTAATGAAACTAGGAAAGCATTCAAATCATCCAGATGTCATCAGTACTTTAACATATTTTGCAAAGTAGTTTTAAAATTTGAATGAATTATTTAAGAATCCATTGATATAAGCATCTATATTTATCTAGACATGCAGTAGTAGGTTTCTGAGGATTTATTGAAAGTTTCCCTTTATTTATAGCACAGTATAACATCACAGACTACCCTATACCAGATTGTCTGTAGGATAGTAGAGAAATACAATCTAAATGCAAGAGGCGTGTGGAAAGATGCACACCTTCAAGTTTTTTAAAGAGAACACTCCCATTTCCTAACATTTGAGCAATTATCAGTTACAGTGAAATTTTTAAGAGAAGCAAGACATCAAAGAAAAATGAACCATTTGGCAACAAGTACAAATACAAAAGTTGGTAATACTTAATTATTCCTTTCCCTCACTAGCTTAACCATGAAAACCCTCCAGTTATAGTTCTCAAAAGTTCTACAAAAGCTTCTTCCAAACTAAACTACCATCACTGAGTACTAGGAAGTACAAATTCCACAAAATCCTACACACAAAGGTACTTCTCTCATTGCACATTGCATTTTCTCCACATGCTAGTCCCTGGTAGTCCCTTAGTATTTCAAGAGTTACTTGTTACTTGCTGTAAGGCAGAGAAAGAAATAATAATCTAGGCCTCATTCTCTTTGTTAGTGTTCTCTTGTGCTCTTCAGATTTCAGTCACTCTTCTCTCATGGCTGTTCCCTGTTTAGTTTTCAATTTCCCAAAATGTCATCATCATGACAAAAAGCTCAACCTACTGAGGTGCTACCAATGCCACATGATCTTTGTGACTGCTCTTTTGTAGTGCACTAACAATGACAACTAAGGAAATAAGCAAACTTGCAGACAAATGCTGCTTTGGAGGCAATTCTCTCTCTTTGTGCAAGAGTGACACGGCATATAAATTGAGAATTCAATATGGCTGTGACATTTGAAGGTATAAAATCTCTTTGTGAAGGTTTCAGACCATCTTAAAAGGAAGAAGGATCCCCCATTTCTTGTTCCTCCTCAAAACGTGTTGCATAATCTCACTTCTAATTTCTGTTTAAAATATACTTGGAACAAAAATTTGCAAAGATAATTCAAATACTTTATTTCCTGAGAAACATCCTAATAAACACACAATTACAACTCACACAACAATATTAATAATTCAGGTAAAGATTGGAACACATGCACAGAAGAATACCTGTTCCACCTATCACTTAGCCATGTTGTCTTTCTTTAAGTAAAAGGAAGTATAAGACTCTTACCATCATTTTTTCAAACAGTGCTATGATTTCTCTTTCCGACAATGGTTTTGTAGCAAAATCCTCCGGGTCCATGGGTGTGGATGACCAATCTGTAGAATGTGACTGCTTCATATGTGGCAGAGGAGGTCTTTCTTTTTTACTTTTTGGAATTCTTATACTGGCAAATCTATCCAACTGAAAACACAAAAGGTATAACATATCACATACTGCTTCCATTCTATGTAACCCTAATTAAGATGGGTGTTCTTGGAAGTTGAACATTCTTATTTTGATGCGGTAGCTTACCTGTTATTTAACTGCCTCATTCTAAAGGCTTTTCCTAAAGATACATATGATGGTCAGTTGCCTAGCACTGGAGTTAACCGACCAGAATCCCATTACGTTAGAAAGTAATCATGCAGAACATCAGAATTTTACAGAAAGTTTGGAGGAATAGATATCTACAAAACCAATTTATGAAGAAGTCTTTCCAAGCGTTACATGTAGAATATGAGAAAGCAGGCTTATTTACCAAAAGCATAGTTTTAAAGCGGTTTTAGTTACCCAGAAACAGCTGTACTCCTAACGTGGCTACAGAATATATAGGCATGCAAAGAAACTACTTTTTATTAAAAGACAAGTTAGCATAACTAAGATACAGTTCTATTTATTTTCTTTCTATTTCTACTTCTTTTTGCATCATGTAATACAAAGTTTAGTGCCTTTGTTCCAATTATTTAGAAACTCATTTTGGAGAAACCATTGACTCCTCTATTAAAGCTTTGTAGAGTACGTTTATGATTTCATGAATGATCCTTATGACTAATCCCCAGCACACGTCAATTGCTCTGGCTTTATTAACCCTTCCAAGATCCAAAAACATTTTTTAGAAAAGTGGTTTGGGTTGTGGCATTTTTAACTGGTTAGCTATTTACAAACTTTTTGATCAAGAGTTACTAAGTGAAACTTTACACATTTTCCATGCTAGAGCTTGTATGTTTTAAGGTACATGGGCAAGGACCAACAGAAGGCAAAAGCAGTGGACACATAATGAGATGCGCTACATCATCATCTTTGTAACACCATTTTGAACAGATACAAGTAGCAACATCACACTTCTCAACACAAAAGAAAAGTTACGGAAACATTTGATGCATAAGAGATTTTGGACAAGATTTCAACCATATCAACAGACTTCTGTCTTGGAATGTTATGCAAAAATATTCTAAGGCTTCAATATATCTTTGAGATAAGTATCTTGAGACAAGTACATCAGTTACCAAACTAAATGACAAGTAAAGTTATTATAGCATCTGTGGCATTAAGATCAGAGAGAGCAAAGAAAATCAGTAGCAAAAATTTGGTACAAGTGTTCCACTCTAGTCAGAGCAAGAATTGACTATGAGACATTCATAAAGAGAGACTTACAGAAATATAAAGACTCTAATTCTTCCAGTTCAAAATTGAAAAGAAAGTTTTTGGTTAACATAGAAATAGATCATAAGATCTAACTCACAGATAGTTGCAGAACATGCAAAAGCAGAAAATTAATATAGCATAAACACAAAAGAGCTCAGCATGGATGATGGGGCTTTTCTGTGTCACATCAAACCAATAGGCAATGAGGAAGAGCATACTCTACAGGAATAATTACATAGGTAAGACCCAGGAAGACAAAGAATGCAACAAAAGCAAAAGGGAGGGTAACATCACTGGAAGTGAAGTAGTAGTCATCAGTAGCAAAAACCATCTTGCATCTTGACTAGAAAGCAACTTCCCTTCCTGCTTTTAAGATCAGAAGTCTATGGAAAGCATGGGGGGATGAAGCCAGACTTCATACTGAAGTGATTAGACTGGAATTGTAAAAAAATACTATTATATGAGACTCGTCTTTTCAAGCAACATCTTTCACAGAATACTGATGAAAGGCAAAATGCCCACTCCTAAAAATGAGTTAGCCAGTAGCTTCTCCATGCCCCCACATCTTCACTATAAAGTGCATAACCTAAGACACAAGCCATTGTATTTGCAGATGGTTCACATACAGACTTGAAACGGGTGTAGAGGGAAGACACTTTGCCTGAAATAATGGATTTCAACCCATGAATCAGTGAATAGAGAACAAATTTGGTTTAAGACCGCTGTGCCCTAAATTCCCTTTCCAGTATCTCCTGAAAAATCTCAGTCCCTTCTTTACAGTCTGTACTCCCCAAGTGTCTCCTCTTCCTTCTCCTGCTACACACAGCAGCCACAACAGAAGTCCTGGTCAGGGCAGAACTACCATGAAATATCACATGCAGTCCCAGAGGTCTGTAGAAACAGACAGCCCTTATTCAGAGAGAAGAGCCTAGTCCTCCTTGAAAAGAGATATTTCACTTGTTCCCATTTTTAGTTTATGTTTTAGTTTTAAGTTTCTTTTGAATGTATAGTAAATGTTTTGCATCATTATACATTACACTGTAACATTAATATTCCCCATCTTCACCAAATCCTATACCACTCATCCTAGAGGAGGAAAGCACATCTTGGAATATATTTGATCAGACAGAACATTTAAGACAAATTGAGATAATAAGATTATAAAGACATTTAAAGATGTGTCAAACTTTAAATTACTTTAAATAATTTAAAACAATGCAGTCTAAAAAGAAGATTCACATACATTAATAAAAGGGAATTCACAAGATTTGCACAGTAGTAGAATGTGGATATTCTACATATGCTTCCCTTTTGAATTATACATTGATAGTGCTTCAGAAAAGTTAATACTTCTCAGTATTCCATACAGGCAAATAATTTCATGGTCCACAGAAAGCACTATACAGAAAGAATAGAAATTTCATTGCTTGGGTGTAATGAAATCTACCAGTGATGCTGCTGGCGATCCAAGTGCATAGAGGAGGAAATGGCAAAAAAAAGGTCAATAATCTTCCATGTTACACCAAAACATTTTAAATGAGGCTAACCAACAGGCTATAGCTAAGCTTAGCTTTGATACAGTTTTACTAGAGTTTAAAGCAGGTTTGACCTTGCATCTTTTCTAATTTTTTGTATTTATTTTATCAATGGATACATATAGATGCATACAGGAACAGTGCTCTAGGACAGTAAGAAAAATATCTGTATGAGCAAAAATTAAGCAACCATCAAGGAAGAACGACAAGGTTTTATTGGTTTATTTCACAGGTTGACTATTATTCCACTGAGAGCCCATGAAATAAGAAAGTGATTTTATGCCTACACCATGGCCCTGAAAAATGAAAGTTACACAGAAATCCACAATACAAACTTTCTGGCTCATCACACTTTCTAATCAGGTCCCTAGAAAGTAAATCTTTTTGTGCTCTGATTTTGATCTTTGTGATGACTTCTTATACCATCCTCCATAACAAAAGAGCTTATATTGAACTTACACACGATAATGCAGGAATCAATGGATTAGTTACTGCTAGAATAATTTTTGGCACTACACCTTATCAAGATATCACCTACTAACAGAGCTGCTATGCATGCAGGAATAAAAGGTGTTACTTCACTGCCACCCTGCCTCCCTCATCTCTCCCTTAATTAACACATCAAATCACCTATTCCTATATCAAGAAATTCCTCAAAAATTAAATCCAGCACATGCATGTAAAAAAAAAAACCATTATCACTGTAAGGGATGGCCTTAGTAACAGCACTGAAAATGGCCCTTGTGATGGCCCTGCTCCTTCACCTGCTCCATTCTCTCCAACCTCCTTGTTCTCCTTGACTGCTTTTGCTAAATCTTTTTTGAAGGGTTACTTTCATATACATTTCTTCTGCTTGTGTACAGGGGCAAGTGACACCAGCATATGTTTTTGTCTCTGCTTCAGTGGCACTGTTGTCATCAGGCTTGAACTAACCACAGTGTCTGTCACGGTGGCTGGAGCAGCTGCAGGGGTTGGTGTCTCACTGTCGGATTCAGAGACCTTCTTTCCCTCCTGAGAGCACTGGGCAGTGCTGGGCATGGCTCAGTAGGCCTGGGCCAGGCCCCAACACATTGCAGTGGTTTGGGTCCTCCTGGGTTGCTAGGGTGACAGCACACCTTTTCCAAGGCCAAAACTTTTACTAGTTTTTCTGGATTATGCACTTGCTAGGGGTAAAGTGCAAGCACAGACCACTGCCCTAGACACCGGCCCATACAGTCCCACACACTCCTCCACTCCAAACTATCCAGCTTTTGGGCATATGTCCAGGTGATGTTCCTAATTAAAAGTCTGATCTTAAGCAAGACCTGAACCATACGCAATAACATGCTGGCTCCAAGAAAAAGGATCAGGTTGGTTTCAAGGGTATTCAAAGATTATTCAAAATCTTTAAAATTCCCAAAGGCTACTGTAAGCCGTCTGGAGGAGAAGGAATGAAAGGGGGAAGGAAGAAAGATGCAGAAAGGTATTGTTACGGGTTCAGGAGGATGCCTGCACACAAAAAACTCAAGACAGAGTCAGAATAGCAAAGCAAGCCAATTTTATTAGTCGTGTTAGCAATAAATACATACCAACCCCTGGATGTTGGAGAAGCTGCTGAGCAGGAGAAGGAGGTAGAGCATAGCTCCTGACTGGGAGAGGCAGGAGGTCAGCACACCTTCAGGGCATCCCCCTGATAAAAACAGTGTGCATCATGTCATCCTCTCTCCTCCACTCTTATACCTCCCCCTCAGGAGTGGCCAGTTTCAACATCATCTCACATGGGGCCAGTGCATGAGAATAAGTCTCAACAGCCCATGATCACACCTCTTTGCCAACAACAGCTTTATTATTCCCCTTTCAAAGAATTAATTCCACTGATACAGTTTCATTTCTGAAGGTTAGTTCTCCCAACTAACAATAAATTATACATAAAAAAATAAAAAAATAACAATACATTATCTTGCTGACGTGCACAATCACAGACCAAATATGTCAGGCCTTAGACCCGTCTTTGGTCCCTGACAAAGGTATTTTCCTCATAGGTTGCCTTCCTGAGGACACAACTTCTGATACCTCATCATGAAAACATAGCATTACAGAATTATTATGGTTTAACCTAAAATACATTACTAGAACTACTGAACAACCTTTCTTCTTTCACTCCCAGTCTCATGAAGAGAAACACACATTCACATATATATAAAAAAAAAAAATATATATATATATATGAGCCATCAAGATACTGATGGTGATCACTAAGCACAGTCTTAGCAGAGTTCTGATATGAAATATATACGGGTATAAAATATTCCGTTCCTCAGTGAAAGCATAAAGCCAAGAGTATTGCTTATAGTTTTTGCTCTTTTTCCGTGTGTTCCCGCTCTGCCTTATGTAGGACAAAAAGTACTGCCACCCTTTATCTTCAAGTTAACGTTTTTGACTGCCTGCTATTTATATACTCAGTAAACACATTTTTTCACATCTAAAAAATCTGCTCAAGGGCTACAGAATAACTCAGTCTCCCAGACATTTTGCCAGTCATTTTAGTCACAGAAGCCAACAGCTCAGTCATGAAAGTCTGCTGTAGAACCCTGATGTTGACAAATGACAAAGGCTTAGGGGAATATTAACAACATAGGAAAGAACAAAAGGAGAATACAAAGTGGAACAAATCCTGTGTCTTCACTTGAAATAATTATTATTCTTACTGGATAGGGAACCGACACTATGAACTGGGTTGCAAAAATTCATTTCAGTATCTTCAGAACTTAAAGCAACCAGCAGAAATACTTCTCAAAAGATCAAAGAAGTTACTTCCAATGACTCTGAGTCAAAGACCTCTTAACATATTTTTCCTCCTTGAAGCTCCAGAAGATTAAAAAATATATTCTTTCTCTGACAGTCAAATTGCTCTACAAGATTAACTTCTTAGTATGTGAGAAATTCCACTGCTAGCAGTAGAGCTTTTAGGAAGAGTAAGACTTGCATAAACCAAGATACACAGAAGAATCCCTTTGATAAAATTACTTCTTATTCCTAATAAACTCAATCTCAGAGATTATTTTACCAATCTAAAATGTATAGTATTTAGACCTGTGCACAATCACATCCTAAATGTGTAGACAATATTTCACTCTGAATCTTATTTCTCTATATACTGAAAATTATACAGCCTTTCTAATCTTTAAAGCAGTTGCTATGAAATCAGTATAATTTGATGTTCTAACAAATTTTAGCATGCTTTTCTTTTTTGTCTCCATAAGATATCTTTTAATAAAATTCTGTTAATATGCAGGTTTAGTTAACCTTTCTGAGTCTTACTGTCCCCCCTCTGCCAACACTGAGTCAGGCATGCCAGCAAACTGCATCTCAGAAAGTGGAAGATCACCCCAACAGGCAGGAGGGGACATAAGAGACCCCTGCTTGGGGTGCCAGGTGAATCCCCTCCCAACCTACCAAGGGAGCTGTCCCAGTAAATCTGTTGTTTGTGAGCAGAGAAGGACTAGTGGGTGAAATGGTGTGCACAGTGGCCATTTTGGGCAGTGGAAGCACACAATTGTTAAAGTTCTCAATTCTGAATAAAGTAAGGATGGGCACCAGCAGAACCGCCACTTTGGGCTTCTGGCAGGCAGACTTTAGAGTTTTTAAGACATGGATTGACAAAGTCCCTTGGAAATTAATTCTGATGGGTAAAGAAGTCCAGGAAGGCTGAGCATACTTTAATAAGGAAAATTTTAAAGATACAGAAGCAGGCTGTCCCCATATGCTCTAAGAAAACCCAGTGGAGAAAAAGACCAGCCTGGCTAAACAGAGAACATTAGGCTGAAACTCAGGGCTCAGAGATGAAAAGAAAAAGACAGAGAAAAAGAAAAAAAAAAAAAAAGAAAAAAAAGAAAGAAAAAGAAAGAAAAAAGAAAAAGAAAAAAGAAAAAAGAAACACTGTATTAAGCATGACACTGAATATACTTAAGGTGGTTTGAACAAGCATTACTGAAATTCACAAGCAAATGTTACTTTGTTAAACATGTTATTTTAAGCTAGCCATGCAGCCTAAGTAACTTTAATAGTAAACATGCAATCACAGATATCTTAACTATACTGCATGTAGATTGCCACAATTACCTGTGTCAGGCTCATTTAGCTGTGATTAGAGCATACTTCAAAGACATCCATACATTTTTGCTACTCATACTGATCATGTTACAGATAATTACCAGTTCAGTGAAACTTTGCCAATTAACTAAATTATCCTCAAAGTTAAGATAGTTTCTTGTATTAGTAAGGTTATTTCTATTGCATTAGCAGTAAGGTTATTTGCTTAACCCAGCCAAAGCAAAACTTAAGTTGTCTTACCACATCATCTGTCAGTGTCTTGATATTTAAGTGCTGTAAATCAAACGGGAAAGCAGACGTCAAAATTGTTCAGTAAAAAAAAAAAAAAGCTCAGTTATAGTTTTTTTATTCAAAATCACATGCAAGCTAAACAGTGTTGAATCCTGACACTTGAATAAACCAAGTTCTTGGCAAGTTGTAACTTGCTGGTTTATAACACACAGCAAATTATACAGATTTTAAAAAATCTTCCATTTGATCTTCCAATGGAACATCAAAAGACTATGAACTAAGCACAGCTTGAAACAAGTTGTGTTTTATTATATTTCATAACTAAATTATGCTTTAGAGCTAAATATATGACCTGCTCAAAATTCAGCTACTGGACATGTGTCTTCTCAAGATGGCTGTGGGGACACCAACAACAAATAATCCAGAGATTTCAAACTCAAGAGAAGAACATAGAGCTCCTCAAAAGTTAAAAACTATCCATCAAGCTGCAACACTCAAAGTACTCACATTGTTGAACAGTCTCAAATAATGCCCCTGCAGCAAGCAGAACATGAACCTGTGAGCAGAAACTGAACTAAGCATTTAATAACAGTAGCATCCAAAAAAAAATCTGATCAAGATAACTCAAAACAGCAGTTTCTGAACCAACACTTGCTGCGCTTGCTCTCCACAAACACAGCAAGTGCTAGGATGTACAGCTCTTCCACAAAACCAAAGAGCAGCACAGCACATTGGCAACTGATGAGTCAGTGTTGCAGGGATCCCATGTATCATTTTTATGAATGTCGGAATCTGTGGGTATTGATGATTCCAAGATTCTAGAAAGTCTCCGTCTTTCTGCCCCGTTGCCAAAGAAGAAGCCATAATTCATCTGTGCTGTTTTCAAGGTTGTTTATTCTTGCTTATCTCTAACATGTTCTGCTGCCCTGCCGCAGGTCTGTCCTGCAGGGCAGCGTGCGGGGCTCTGCCCCTCAGTGGGATGGTACAAACATTATATACCAGAAACTACGTGTACTATATTTACAATAATGTGCCAATATCTATCATCTACGTTGAACAGCGTGTCCCCAGCCTCAACCAATAGAAAAATGCCAACACTACAGTGAAACATGGAGGGCATGAAGAAGGAGGAAAAGGACAAGACACACCCATTTTCCTCCATCTTGTCCTCTCTGAACGCCTAATCTAGAAACCTAAAATTTTACTTTTGCACCCATGTCACACTTAATTATTACTCTTATCAAACACTCAGAGCTTGTAATTCATCCTGTAAGATTGAAAACTCTTTTCCATGGACAGAGATCAGAGACAGTGTCTCCGGGGGCTCTATACAGGGGGGTTCCTGACCCCTGCCAGGGTCCCAGACCTGCCAGGGCAGCCAGAGGGAAGCCCTGGATTCCCACATATGAAGAGATTGAGAACAGACTTGGCAGGAAAACGTCAAGAATGTGAAGTCACATACTTAGTGAGATAGACTCTTACCCTTCTCTTAGACTCCCCTAGTGTACACAGCTTGGCAACAGCTATAGCAACTGTCAACAACTATATCCTAATTAACCAGATTTGGAAACTCTTCACCTAGTCAACCATAATTGGCTATCACTCTCTACAACCTGAAAGGAGATTATAGCAAGGTAAGGGTCAGCCTCTTCTCCCAGTTAACAAGCAATAGGACGAGAGGAAATGGCCTCAAATTGCACCACTGGAAGTTAGCTTGGATATTAGGAAAAATTTATTCACTGAAAGGGTAGCCAGGCATTGGAGCAGGCTACCCAGGGAAGTGTAGAATCAACATCCCTGAAAGCATTCAAATGGCATGCAGAGACGCAACACTTGGTTTGGCAGTGAAAGTGGTGGTGCTAGGTTAATGATGATGATCTCAGAGGCTTCCAGCTTTAATGGTTCTATGACTGTGACAATTAATTCTGACATCTTCTCTGGATCATCCCTCAGAATTTAAGAACAATTGTGTTAAGTCAAACATTATCACACAATTGCTCTAGTCTGAATAGTGTCAAGAAACTCAGGAAGAAGTGTCTGATGAATGGTTATGAAGTTAAAAATAGAAGAAAAATGAGGTGCAAGGAAATAGAGTATTCAGTGACACACTACACTCTATCAAAAATTTGTTAAAAAAGGTGCTAGGTTACTACTGAACCTTTATGACAATTCCATTCCATGTTCTAATAAGTGAGGATTTGTAATAAATGAAAACAACAACTATGCCAATCTGGCCAGGAGACTGAAGATCTGTATCCCAGTCGTCTCACAGGTGTTCTCCTGCCACAGGGGTAGATCAGACTTTTGCCCCACACACTGCTATGGAACTGGGGCTTATTACTTGCTTTTCCCATTCTGCTAAATATCTACATAGACAGTAAAAGTCTTAACTGGTGTCATTTACAAAAGCTCATGACTTTGCATTTAGAAAGGTTTCGTATAATACTTCTATCCTTAAGTGAGCAAAACTGCAAGAGAAAACACTAACATATGGTCTGACACTGCAACTAGCTAGAGAAAATTTATTCCTTTTTCATACAGATGACTTCAATCACTAAGCCTTAAGCAATGCACAGATAACATCATGGAGCTCCCCTAACATGGGAAGAGATTACATAATCTATTTAGAATGAAAACCACATGCATTCTATGCTTTGAGTAGAAATTCAAGATTCATGTCAAATTCACGCACACTCCACTAAAAAATGCAGGAAAGCAAGAACATAAGGTTCATTTACACTTAAGAACATATGTTGGATGTTTTGAAACTGCTTCATACAAGACACCATCATCATGCAGGTAACCAGGCAATTTCAGATTCAGGTTATGTTCTTTGAAAAAAATAGAAGTTAGTGGGATAGTTCAAGCTAGTATTTTATTTTTCTTTTAAGCCATGAAATTCAGCAGTGCAATTTACTATGATAACAAGTGAAAAGTTTCTCATTTTCTATATCAGAACACATTACAGACCCAAGTCATCTGACTAATTAGTGAAAAAAGACTACCACACAACCAATTAGGGATACCATCATGGTATAACAAACTCAACATACATATATGAGCCTTCTCTCAAAGTCTTCATCGTACTGGATACCTAGAGTATGGAAGTCTAAAAAATATCAGCATTTCTTTCATAAAAAGTTGTGGAGTCTAGTTTGAAGGCAAATGCTAAAAGCAGGTTCTTAAGTAAGAATCTACCTAACCAGCACCAAATATCAACACTGGTGATATATTTAGAGACTTTATAAAGGAGAAGAAATTCCATGCAAACTACAGCCTAATGTTCAGTCCTTTCAGCACTCTAAAGGCTGAATTACTTGCTGTAAGACACCTCTAAACACTTACTTAGTAAACTTTATGTTATAATGCTTCTCAGTCAGAGGAGTTAGTTAAAATAGAACTGGGGTTCTCTTTTTCCCCTCTCCCTCACCAAGTCCTTCTCTTCTGAAGGACAAAAGTAAAGTCAGTTGACAGCTTCACTGGTCTTCTATAGCATTCAAGGATACAGAGATGTGGAACATTACCTGTGGTCTTAACAACAACAACCACAACAAAGAATCTTACCACACTGGATCTTTTAATGGCATTGCATGGCATTGCATATAGAGGACTGCTGTGACTCAAGAACAAGAACATATTTTTATTCTTGACAGGCCAAACAAAACAAACACATTTCTAGTAAGGGGAAAACTAACTAGATTAGGAGTCATATAAATACCAGGTAGAGGCTAGAGTGCTTTACTACCACAGGGATATATTTTTATTTCCAGGCTCAGATACATCAGTACACAAAAGATACATTCTGCTCAACTGAACAGGTTGCCTTAAACACAGGCCCACAAGTGAATAAATATGACTTAAGTAATATTCCTATAATATTCAGTCACTGCAAAAAACATTAAGTAGTTTTACAGAATACTGCTTCACAATGGATGGAAATATTTCTGTGCTATTCTGAACCTTCCATGAACTACTCCACAGTAACAAAATTATTGAGTTGAAAGCATAGGAGCTATGTACAAGTATTCCTCTAGTCTATCATGTAGAAAGTAGATATGCAAAACTGAAAAACAAATTATCAGTATTTTAAGTATGATGACGTGTTTTCTAGTCAGAGATATATGAAAGCACAAAGAGATTAGAGTCAATTAGGACGCTTCAGGAAAGATTTATCAGTAGCACCTACAGTGAGAAAAGCGGAAGAAACACCATTGCTTAGTTTTCAGCTATAAAAACACTTTCATAAACTAAATTTTAAAACTGCACTCCTCAGTGTACCTTAGTTTTTAGTCTAGGACAAGGAGGAAGAGGTCATTTTGTTTTGAAATTGAGCAGAAGCAGTTCACTTAAAGTTAAATCCAATGAGAAAGAAATACATAGGTGTATCATTTTTGAAGAAAGCAAGCAATCTGACACAATTACCCCTTACGGGAGATTATGCCCCTCAGGCATACTGCTGAATAACCAGTGTCATAAGACAGAAGATATCCACTGTACCAAGTGCAGCATGTGGTACAGTGTTCTTGATGAGCTGGCAAAACTACAAGGATAGTGGGAGTCTTAAACAGAAACTGAAAAGTACAAGAGGATGCAAGGGCTGAGTTCCACAACACAAGCACAGCAACAAGATAGAAAGAGTACTGTGTCTCTTGAAAAGATCACAAATGATGAAGACACGTGTGATGGAACTTTCACACCACTCAGCTAAAGGAAGCCAAACACTATTTGGCTTCATCTACATTCACAGTAAAGAATCTTATTGTCATACTGATGCCTGAAAACTAGGCAAGAAAGCAGTACTCCATAGCATAAGGCCTATAGAGCAGGTATATTTTATTCAACACCAGGAATAAGGGGGATAGCTCCACCACAGACTCACTCTTCCATTCTTTGCACAGTACAAGCTTTTATACTTTTTCTACTTAATGTGCACATTATACTTTCCTAACCTTCATATTGTAACATATTCTCTAATTACATGATTATGAAAGCCCTTGTAGCACATGTGCAGTTTCTGCACAAGGTGGTCATCAGCTTCCTGG